TCTCACTTATTTAAGGTATAATAATACATGGTCTATATAAAGACTTGAGCATCTATATCAGCAAAGTAGGTATATAAAATTATTATCTATCAATTAATCAAATATATCCTATTAACTTAAAATTTAGGAGATAGTTTTAAAAGACAGGCTATTTACTAAGCAGTACTAAACTCATAATCAAAGGAGTTACTGTGGCATTTCCAAAGAGAAAATTTTAAAATCAGATAGAAATTTCTATCTGATGTTTTCATCATTCACTGAATTAGTATGAGTTCTTTAAAAAGAAGAAGGAAGCAGAAGGTATGTAAGCCCCCAACCCCAGTTTTGAGACAATAGGAGAACAGAAAGAAGAAATTGACCATTAATATTTCTACATACTAATTTGAAGTCCATAGACTTAAATTACCCTACTTTAATCACAAATAATCCCTTACATATTGCCTGCTCAATCATCTTAATTCCATTCTGGCTTGCAACAATCACTAGTGACCCTAATCCTAATGGGAATAAATATGTGCTTCCTTCAATTTCCAAAATCAATTCTAAACCTTTTTTCAGAATCATACTAGACTGGTTGAGAAGCTAAATCAGAAAAAGATCTTTCTTCTCAGAAATTAATATTCCTCTGGCCTATTTTCCTTTTAGTGAAGCAGTTTAGCTGGCAGGACAATGCTCATTTCATATCTATGCAAGCATCTAGAGTTAGTTTACTAACTCTAGGATTTCACCTGCAGAGCTGAAAAGGTAATTGTTCTAGTTCCACAAAAGTCAAATCTAAAACGCTTGGCTTTTTCACTGCAATTGCCTGCATGAGAGGCCAGCTTGCATTTCTGGCCTTGGTCAAGCATCACATACACCCCCCTGAGCATACCAAGCACAGGAAACCATTTTATACCAGTCACCAGCCATTTGTTCCACTGCTTTAAAACCCAGTGCTGTTTCTCCTCCACAATATATGGCCTTCTTTAAAAACTCCTACAAATTCTACTTTCCTAGTACCAGCATCTCCATTAATAACCATGAGATTTCATACTTCAAACATTAGGTAATAAGAAATTTATTTCCAGTCTCTTACACAGCAATCTCAAGCTTTTCACCACACACCTAATGATATTTTAACAGAATAGTACACAAAAATCTTAAGATATTTATCAGTAAGAAATAAATATGAAAACTACCCTCAAAGTATCACATATTGCAATATCTGACAAACCTTTAAGAAGCCCTTACAAAAAGAAAATTTAAATGTCTTAAAGTCTTCTAAAATCAAAAACCCTAAAAATGTCAAGTATAATGTAAAAGTTAATATATATAATAATGACTTTAAAACATGTTAAGCAATCCTGTGTCTTTAATTTTATATTCCAATATTTTAAAAATGTATAAGGTACATACTTAGTACATTCTAAATAATTCAATAATCACAATATTCATTTAAACAAACTATCCAATCTCTCACTCTGGGTTTATGGACTTCCCAAGTTATTCCACTAACATATTGTTGCAGCAACCAGGCTATCACCTCTCACAAAAAGACCTTAAAAGGAGAGAAACCAAGATGGTAGCACAGGTAAACACCGGAAATTGCTGCCTCCCACAACAAATTCAAAAATACAACTAAAATAC